GAAGATTCAACTCTTGGATGTGATTGAAATGATATTTAAAGATATAATGGAAGACATGTTTCCTCAATAAATATTTAATCTGCAGATCAAAAAGATACATCAATATTTGGGGAAAAATGTTATAGTAAGATGAACCCAAGATATATATACCTGTAGAGACTAATGTTCAAGTATATAGAACTAATTATATGAGAATCCGAAGAGAAAAGGCAGGCAACTTAAAAGGAAGAAAGAATTAGGTCGACTTCAGAAATCTCTGCAGTGATATTCAAATGCTTGAATACAGTGTATGACTGACTACACAGTTATGAGAAAATGAAAGTGTGACCCCAAACTACACATCCAGGTGCAGCAGGTAAAAGGTGCTGGTTATTTCTCCACATTTATTTTTTTCCTTCTTAACACAAAGAACCCTGATTTTGAGTCAGACAATTAAAATCACCTAAATGGCTATATATCCCATGGCCATGTAACTGATGTTTTTCTAATGAAATATAAACAGAAATGTTGTGTGTCACTTCAATGAAGTCTCCTTGAGGGTAGGGCTCTATCCTTTTTTTTTTTTTTAAGATTTTATTTATTTATTCGAGAGAGAGAGAGAGAGAGAATGAGGCAGAGACACAGGCAGGCGAAGAACAGGCTCCATGCAGGGAGCCTGATGTGAGACTCTATCCCGGGTCTCCAGGATCACACCCTGGGCTGTAGGCGGCACTAAACCGCCGCACCACTGGGGCTGCCCGGCTCTATTCTTCTTGATTCATTCCTTCACTTTGCTGACTGAAATATGGATATGATGGCTGACACGGAAGCAGCCTTTTTGGACCATGAGGGCAGGACCATTCTTTAAGAAATGGTACAACAGTGAGCTGGAAAGAGTGTGGGTCCCTGATGAATTCATGTAGACATCATGCCTGCTCTGGACTTCTATTATGTGAAAAAGTAATAAACTTCCATGTTAAAATCTCTCATGTGTATGTATGGTGGGGGAGAAAGATTCTTTATATTAAGCCAAACTTAACGCTAAATGATTATGCCAGGCAGCTGTCTTCAGATATAAAGTTAAGAAACAGGACTTCTCAACTTTGGGAAGAAAATTAAATGATGAAACTCAGCGAACAAAAGTTAAATCAAAATAATATACAAATAGGGAATATGGAAGACACTGTAAAAGAATTAATGATGAAAATTTAATTCACTTAAATACAAAACTAAGATTAAAGAACTATGGGAGGGGATCCCTGGGTGGCTCAGCAGTTTAGCACCTGCCTTTGGCCCAGAGCATGATCCTGGAGTCCCGGGATTAAGTCCCACATCGGGCTCCCTTCATGGAGCCTGCTTCTCCCTCTGCCTGTGTCTCTGCCTCTCTCTGTGTGTGTGTCTCTCATGAATAAATAAATAAAATATTAAATAAATAAATAAATAAATAAATAAATAAATAAATAAATAACTATGGGAATAATGGCTACCAGATAGAAAGCAAATGATAACACAAAAAAACAAAAGTATGGTAGAAGATTGAAGTGAAATGAAATGAGGTTAAAACATTCCCTACCTACTTTATTTTTGAAGACATTTTCTTGTGGGGTTGAAAATTCCCTTTGACAAAAATAAAATTAGAATGATTGTATTGTCTTCAAGATGTATGACAAAAGGTGTGGTTGTTGACTTTTCAAAGTCACAAACAGTAACTACCTCTGTTAATAATTATAATAAAATTAAAGAAATGTGCTGATTTTCTCCTCTTGCATCACAAGGGATCTATAGATATAATCTAAAGTTGAATATTTTAAGATTTTATTTATTCATGAGACACAAAGGGCGGGGGGACAGATATAGGCAGAGGGAGAAAGCAGGCTCCATGCAGGGAGCCTGACATGGAACTCAATCCTGGGTCTCCAGGATCACACCCTAGGCTGAAGACAGCGCTAAACCGCTGAGCCACCCAGGCTGCCCTAAAGTTGAATTTTTAAAAAAATCTTTTACATAATGATTTCGACCTCTTAGTGATTTTCATAAATTTTTTAAAAGAACTCGGGGTTGGGGGGTTGTGCCTGGGTGGATTAGTTGAAGTGTCTGACTCTTTATTTTAGTTCAGGTCATGATTTCAGGGTCCTGAGATCAACCCGTGCATCGAGCTCCATGCTCAATTGGGATGTGTCTGCTTAAGTTTCTCTCTTTCCCTCCTCTCCTCTCCCCCAGTCCATGATATCTCTCTCTCTCTCAAATAAATAAATCTTAAAAAATTAGGAACTAATAACTTTCATAGTGAAGAAACATTTATCTAAAGTTCAGCAATTTGTGCAATTTCACTTCAATTTCCTTTACCTTCACTAAATGAAAGTATAAAGTTACTACTTTTTGTTTTAAACTAGCATGTAGAGTATGATTCCCATTTTTGTTTGCTGATCTCCTTGTCATTCAACCTAATATTTATTTATCTACCTACCTACTATTTTCTTGTCTATATCTTAGTTGCATATTGAATGTCTTGAAAGACCTTCAACAGGGGCACCTGGGTGGCTCAGTGGTTGAGTGTCTGCCTTTGGCTCGAGTCATGATCCCAGTATCCTGGGATCAAGCCACACATCAGGCTCACTCAAGGGAGCCTGTTTCTCCCTCTACTTATGTCTCTACCTCTCTCTGTGTGTCTCTCCTGAATAAATAAATAACATCTTAAAAAAAAAATCTTCAACAAATGTCATTTGTGATAGGTTCAAATGGTGGAATTTATTCTTTGTTTATATATTTTAATAAGCATCATGTATTAGTTTGATAAAACATATCAACCTCGTAAAAACTAGGGTTTTTTTTTCTCATAATACTTTTATTTTTAATAGCTCCAAACGGGTTTTTTTTTTTTTTTTAACAAAGGAATTTTCCCACTTTCTCCTGGAAAAAATTTTATAACTATGCAAAAATGAAAATGAATACCTGCCCCTATACCCAGACAGAAAGTAGAAAATAGAAACAGAAAATAGAAAAGCTTCTATTTAAAGCTTTTAATTTTATTAAAATTACTAACAGGGGTAGTTACTGTTTGTGACTTTGAAAAGTCAACCACACCTTTTGTCATACATCTTCTTGAAGATAATACTTTACAATCGTTCTAATTTTATTCTTGTCAAAGGGAATTCTCTACCCAAGAAAATGTATTTAAAAATAAAGTAGATAGGGAATGTTTTATCCTCATTTCATTTTTTCCTGCATTTCATTGCATCCAAGGTAACAGACCTAAATAGTGGCAGAGTTGGGATTAGAACTAAAATGTTCTAATTTCCAGACCAGATGTTCCCAGAGAAAGACAGTTACTGTTATTTTCCCCTTGTTGAATACAACTGGTTTTCATGGCAATAAGATAACCAACACATACCCAATGGAGCCATTGGTTCATAGAATTTTCAACTTGCAAGGGACCTTAGAGATGGTCTGATGTGAGGAGTCTGCAGAGGGCATCAGCAGCCTCCTCTCCAGGCCCAAACTGGTGCCCAGCTCCTGTGCCTCTAGGCTCCCATTTCAGTCCTCACCAGTTTTTTTTTTTCTTACCTGATTTACATATTAATGTTCCACATAAGATTCCATTTGAAGAAGAGGCATGATTTCTACAAATAGATTTAAAACCACTGATAGCCTAATCTTACAGAAATAGAGAGGTGATTTAATATAATCATTGCAAAGTGAGGAAGTTTCAAGTACCAACCAATTCATAGGAGAATAAGCAATCTTGGGCCAAGCTTATTTTGAGACTGTCTGATATCATTCCATTTAGGAGCAGCTGTCTTTCTGAATTCACACTTCTCTTTTTTTCTAAACCACTAGATAACTAACCCAAGTATATAGACTGTACAAATTTTATGTGGTCAAGAAATTGTAGATTAGATGCATGAACAAGAATAAGAGGAAAAAATGTCAAATGTCCTGCCTTATAGTGTTTCATGTTCTAATTGAGAATTGTCTAACTAAAAGCATGTGTCTGCAATTAAAAATGTGGATCCATTTTAAAGGTAATAATAGAAATGTTCTTTATTAGATAGAAGTATCACTATGTCTCTGAGGTTGATGAGGTCAATTAAATGGACGATGGAGGTAATTTAATACTTTACATTTATCAAGGGCTTTATAGATTATAATCAGTAAAACAGCATTTGTCTGGTAGGAAGGGCACAGGCCCAGCCTCAGATCCACTTCAACATCTAGTAACTGGGAAACTCCAGGCAAACCAACTTAGCTTAACTGACACTCAGTTTTATCATCTGTGAAATGGGACTTCTGTGAGAATTAAGTGTAATGACACATATTAAGTACTTAACTCTTTCTCAAGTAATTTTAATTTCCTTTCCTCTGTTTTCCTGGCAAGTTGAGTATAATGATACTTTTATTAGACTATTTTAAATATAGAAGAGTATAAGCGATAATACATGGCAAGCTATTTTTTGAATAAAGAATAATTTTGCAACCTGAATCATAACCAGTAATCAGTATATTGCAAAGAAAAGAGCACTGGGTCTACAATTAGAAGACCTCAGGTCTTATCTCCATTCTGCCCTTTTTAGATTGAACCATATGAAATAACTATTTTTATAGGTCACAAATGGTTGAATAGATTTGTGGTACTGGAAAAACAATGTTGTCTCTGAGATTCCATTTCCTCATTACATGAATTTAAATAACTACATTTATTCACTGATTAAACATTTATCATATACATATTGTGTGGCAGGCATTGTTTCATGTGACGATGATACAGTGAAGAACACAACAATGTCCTTTTCCTTGTGGTGCTCTATTCAATAAGGCAGACATGTAATAAACAAGCAAATAAGCTTACAAACAATACACTTTTTTTCAGGTAGTGATAGAATATTCAGTAACTAGGTGATCTCTAAGGTTTGATTCTGCTTGAAAATTATAAAATATGAGGTCATTTTTATAATAAATTATTTTCTTACTGAAATAATTTAATATAAGATATATTTGAAGATAAATTTGTACTCTTTAAAAATAGAAAGAAGTACTTTCACTGTAGGAAATCTGAAAGAGAATCTTCAGAAAATCTCAAAAGGATTTAGGGGATTATATTAGGAAATAGTTTTGGCTCCATGTAACAGAACAACCAAATAGTAGTTTACTTTTCTCATGAATCAGGAAGTCCAAATCCAGCTGCTCCAAAGCTAGTATGGCACCATAGTGCTTTCAGGCCAGGCCACTCTCAGCCATCTTCACCATAGGCTTTCTTTCTTTCTTCTTTTTTTTCTTTTTCAAGATTTTATTTATTTGAGAGAGAATGAGAGAGAGCATGAGCAAGGGGGGGCAAAAGGAAGGGGCAGAAGAAGAAGCAGACTCTACTGAGCAGGAAGCCCAATGCAGGCTCAATGCAGGGATCATGCCCCTAGCCAAAGGCAGACACTTAACCAACTGAGCCACCCAGGCACCCCCATCATAGACTTTCTTCCTCATGCTGACTGTTTCACAGTTACAAGATGGCAGATGGAAACCCCTCCTGCAACACCATACAATGTTTCAGGTCAAAGGATAAAATGTAACTGCCAACTTACTTTGCCTCCTTTTAAAGTTTTCCCAAAAGCTTCAGCTAGCAAATCTCACTTATTAGCAGAAACTGGACCACCCCTAAATTTTTCAGTGGGGCACATGGCTACCCTATATAAAATTAGGATTATGTTAATAAAAGAGCAGAGTTCAGAGAAATATTGGTTAAAGAACGAGGTGTCTCTATCAGAGGGATATACCAACCTTCATTCAGAAATATGATTCTGAATATCTGTGAAACAAACATTTACCAGGAAAATCATTACTAAAAGAAAATTTTTACACAAATATTCTTAGATAGCAAAAACTATTTGGCATACAATGATCTCCAATTCCCTTCTCCAAACTCTACCTCTCAGGAATGTGTTTGATTAGGTTCTACTTTTATTATTTGCTCTAGTTAAGTCCACCTGTAATATCAACTCCAGGGCTTAGTTTGAATAAATATGCAAGCACTCCATGTATCTGAAGTGATTTTCTATTTCCTTCCTTCCACACCAGGTTTAGGAAGACTTATAAACAAATAAAACCAATGATTAAAATAATAGCTAAGGGATCATGTTTGAGGAGAAGAGCAAGAAAACAAAATCTAAGGGGATACAAGTATGCAGAAGTCCCTGGGATTATCAGAGGGTTCCACAATTGTGAGTGTCCCTTACCATCTGAATTTTAACAATCTAAATATGTGTATAAAATCTGCTAAAATGTTTATAAAAATTCATTGTCCAAATGAAAAATCAGCTATGATGAATATATGAGGGTACATCAAGTAAAATGGTGTGGGTAAATGATGAGTGGTCCCTCTGGGTATCCCTCACCCTGGCATTTAGAGAAACTCTGGGATAGAAAGTGAGAGGTACAGATACCCAGGCCTAGTGTGCGGTGCCATAAATGTCACACCTGCATGAAACTGTGGACGTCACAGAACTGGTCTCCATGGCAGTGGCTGGAGGAAAATGTGAAGATGTGAAGTGGTGCTCAAGAAGCCATCAGTTCACCACCCAGTCCTTCTGAACCAGATTTTCTTGGGTGGAATGCTGGGAATATGCATTTTTAACAGATTCCTAGGTAATTCTTATAGACACTAAAGTTTAAAGAACCATAGCTCTAGATTGGTGTTTCTCAAATGCAAGTCCACAGACCTGCTACAATATAGTCCCTTTGGGAGTTTTAAAAAATAAGGAATTGATGGCAGAGAATTCAAAATCATATTTTCTAGTAAAAAAACTTACAAGCGCAGGATTTGGTATAGACACTTAGGGAAGAATCCAGGTACTTTAAGAATGAGCCAGATGGACCTAGTGTCTTGCTTCTAATTAATGGAATACAGCAAAGATGATGGGATATCATATCCAAAATTAGGTTACAGAAGAACTGTGGCTTCTTGCTTGCCCACTCTTGTTCTCCCTTGTTCTGAGAGAAGCTTGTTGTCATGTTGTGAGCTGCTTGTAGCAAGGAGTAAGGAACTGAGGGAGGTCTCTGGCCAACATCCAGTAAGGAACTGAGGCCCTCAGACCAACAAGGAACTGAGTCCTGCCAATAACCCATGAGTGAACATGGAAGTCAACAGCCCTACTGACACCTTAAATGGAACCTTATGAGAGACTTTGAGATCAAGGCATTCAGCTAAGCTCCACCCAGATTCCTGATTTACAGGAATCTATAAGATCATAAATGTTTGTTGTTTTAAGCCTCTAAAAGAGGGAATAATTTATTACCCAGCAAAAGTTAATTCATACAGGAGTATTTCATGTAAAAATATTTATCAGTTTTTAACATTTTGGCATATAAAAGAATATGTCTTGGTCATATGGGATTTTCTTTCATATACATGAAACAACTTATTCCTTGATACTGCAAATAAATAAAAAACAGACTTCTTGGGGAGGAAACTTTTTCCTCTAGCCTTCAAAGATTCTTCTGGCTGGTCTAAGGATTAAATTGACATGAGAAAGATTAACAGAAAAACTAACTTAATTTCATATATATGGAAACCGCACATGCATGAGAGGTTCAAAAACAATGGCAAAATGAAGTATATATGCCATGATGACCTAAGGAACAGGATAGGGGCCTGGGGCTTCAAAGGGTAGGAGGGCTATTCACACACAGGCAATAAAAAAATAGCAGATGTTTGGTAATTAGGTATTTGTCCTGCCATACAAATGGATCAATCAGATAAAATTTATTTCTGGTAATAGCTCTGATTCTGGAAAAGACACCCAATTTAGGTTCTTTCAGGTAATTAAGAGAGAAGCAAAATTTCTCTTGAGCCTGCAGTGTCTTGATTGCCTTCAGTTCAAAACAGTCCACCTGCCAAGGGATACCTAGGTGGCTCAGCGGTTGAGTGTCTGCCTTTGGCTCAGGGCAAGATCCTAGTTCAGGGATCGAGTCCCACATCGGGATCCCTGTGAGGAGCCTGCTTCTCCCTCTGCTATGTCTCTGCCTCTCTCTGTATCTCTCATGAATAAATAAATAAAAATTAAAAAAAAAAACACAACAGTCCACTTGCCAAAGTGGCACATTTTGGGGAGATCTGTTCTGAACCCCTCAGCTGTGTAATACTAAGTTTGAGAAGTTAGGTTTCGGGCAGCCCCAGTGGCGCAGCGGCTTAGGGTTGCCTGCAGCCTGGGGCATGATCCTGGAGACCTGGGATCGAGTCCCACATCGGGCTCCCTGCATGGAGCCTGCTTCTCCCTCTGCCTGTGTCTCTGCCTCTCTCTCTCTCTGTGTGTGTCTCTATGAATAAATAAATAAAATCTTAAAAAAAAAAAAAAAAGAGAAGTTAGGTTTCAAGTTAGGCAGAGAGCAAATGTAAATCTCTAATGCAGAATAGGTGCTTACTAAATAGAAGGAGAACTGAATTAATAAACCAGAATAGATGACTGGAACAGATAGAAAATGAGATTCCACTTGATCCAACAGGCCACTGGTTCTCAACCCTTAGTGCGAATCAGAATTACTTAAAGGGCTTATTAAACTACAGAATGCTGGGGCCCACCTTTTTCATCTTCAGAATTCCTCATTCAGTAAGTCTAAGATGAAGACAACGAATTTGCATTTCTAGGGAGGTCCACGTGATATGGATACTGCTGGTTCGGGGACCATACTTTGAAAACCACTGCAACAGGCAGTGGTTCTATAGTTTCTTGTTGGGGGAGTGACATGAGAATAGTGCTCTCAGATGACTCATAAGGCATCAAAGGAACAGCAAGGCTGAAGGGATCAAACTTGAAGTAACTGTGAGGCTCTTACTAAAATAATTAGGTGATGGTATTTGGGAGCAAGGAGCTTTGCAGCCAAGGGAAATTAAAAAGGAAATATTGAAAAGGCTTGTTTACTTTATCAGTTCTCCTCCAAATATTGCAGTTTCAATAGTCACTCTAGCTACAGAGGGAGGAAATCAAATTATTATCATTCTTAATGAAAGAGTCACACAGCCATGTTTGCTGGATGGGTAAGAGACATGAAGTACCATCCAGCATGGTTCCTATGAGTCAGTGCTTTGAGCAATATTTACTGCTATAATTAACTCCTCTACCAATTCTATTTACCTGATAAAATTGTCTTTGGGCTTCCATATGGCCCTGGCTTCCTCCAGGATCATCGGCTGGAGGTTCTGAAACCCATTCAAACCCTTCAGATTTGTGCATCTGATTTACACCATTTCAGAACACTGGGTGTAATTCCTCTATGAGCATTCATTATCTCTATTTCCAAGTTGAAAATGATTCAAGCAGTGAAAGAGTACATGATTGTATTTATTCCTGGGTTGTTTTTGAAATGCAATTATTTCATTGATGTTCTAGAGACAGTGGTGTTAATAGACTGCTTTCCAAAAGCATGGGGTGGCTGATTTCCAGATTTCTGGCAACTGTTAGCAGATGTCATAAGCAAGGGTGATGGGGCAATAAACAAAGAAGGCCTTCTTTCCATCTTCACTGTGGCACACTCCCCTGAAAATTTGGTTCCCTTTGCATTTTCATTATCATTCCTTGTAAATGGTTCAAAAGTTCAAGAGTATCAAGAATAATGTCTAAGTGGTCATTTCAGATGATGACTTATTTTTGTTCATTGGGACATTGGCTACCTTCCAGCAATTTCTAATGCTAAAACAATGCCTCCAGGACTGGCAACATCAGAGCACTGTTCAGAGATATCTGTGGCTGATTTACAAAAAAATGGGGGGGGGGGGAAGCAAAGCATCTTGAGGGTTGTGAGGATACAAATTTATCCCCTCCGGATTTTCCAGTACAGTAAGGGAGAGACATTTATGAACAAGCAAACAGATTGGTATTAATAAAATGTCAGGGCCAAAAGAAAGCATCCCAAATGGAAAATCAGACATTTTAAATATGTTTTAAATGTCATGAACATAACTTAGTTAATTTCTAGTATTACCAATAGTTGTTTCCATAACAGAAATGAGTGGTGACTCCTGGACCTGGACAGTGAGGAAAAACAGAAGGAACCCTTTTCTGTCTCTCTTTCCCCTGATTTATTTATTATATTTATTTCTTGAGTAAACATTTTAACAATCAAGTGTCCTGGTTTCCCTCAGTCTCTCTGCTGCCTCACCTCCTTGGCACAGGGCCTGATACCAAATACCAACTTGCACATTTGCTTCGAGCAAAGCATGCACCTAGATATAGCAATTACAATGGTTTTTGTTTTGACTTTGCCTCTTTTTTTTTTAAATTTTAAAACCTTATTTCCGTATATTGAGCTATTTATATTTTAAATAACGTAATCCTGTAAACGTAATCCCTAATTTTTAAAATTCCTCAGCCTGAGCGTCTGCCTGCCCAGCCAAGGAAGGCTCCCTGATCCCCCTGAAGTGGCCCTGGGCCCTCAGACTCTAGACTTTACCTCTTTTAATGAAACCTCTATTTAAAGGTGCCAACAGGTATACTTTCAAGTTGAACAAAGCAAATACTTTTTTAAAAAATTGCAAGTCAATACTTTTTTAGATCAAGATAATAGACAGGATCTCCATCAGTAAAGCAGGGTTCCCATCCTATGTTGCACGAGGCTCATGTTAATATGCCTCCATTCTAATGGCCAGTTTCAGAGTAAACTTGCTCCACATTCCTGTGTTCTGTTTCTCTAGGTACAACCTTCTCTGCAAGGTTTAAAGATTACAAAATGGCCAAATGCTTTCAAAAGCATGGATTTCCCTGGTCTTTAAAATTCTTAAACTGGGGGTGGGGGAATAAAATTCTTAAACTGTCCATTTTCTCACATTCAATGGACATCTAGCTCCTGCAACCCAAACCCACAAGCACACTCATTCCTATTAGGCTGTTTACATCTACTTTGAAGGTCTTTCAACTAACCTTTTTCCTGACCCACCCCACCATTTCCTCTGGTTTGTTATTTGACAGACTATCTAAATACTTTACCCAAATCATTTGCTTCCTTCCTACTGATAGCTTTTTAGTGCTTGCCACCAGCCCCTTTCTTCCTGGGAAAGGATCAAGGTTTTCTGCAGTATGGGCTCTGTAGCACATGGTCCATTCCTTAGCTCTTGGTATAATCTCGCTTTTTGAACTGGTTGTGGGGGGGGGGGGGACAGCGGGCAGGTATGAATTATAAACACAGCCCTAGGGATGCCTGGATGGCTCATTGGTTGAGCGTTTGCCTTCAGCTCTGGGTGTGATCCTGGAGACCCGGGATAGAGTCCCATGTCGGGCTTCCTGCAAGGAGCCTGCTTCTTCTTCTTCCTGTGTCTCTGCCTCTCTCGGTGTCTCTCATGAATAAATACATAAATAAAATCTTTAAAAAAATAAAATAAAAATAAACACAGCCATAGCAGTGTGACATGATTAATTCTGGGCACTTAGAATAATAATATTTAAGGCTAATAAAACATTTCAAGGGAAGGACCTTGGAGGACTGTTAAACAGCTAAGTGGCATTCGTTTTGATTAGCATATCAATTGTTTCTATGAAGAAAGTTCATTCTCTAAAACAGTTTCATTATTTCCTTCTGAAAACTTCTTTTTTTTTTTTTTTTTAACTTCTCCTTTCAATTGTTTAAGAATTATTCTCATGGATAGCACAAAGGAGAAGTAAAAAAATCACAAATTCCAAATTAGTAGATACTGATCTAAGGGCAAGGGCTGAGGTGTTACTCAACTGGGTCCTTGGGCTCTCCAATCAATAGCAATTGACAAGAGGCCCAGTGGGCGTTCTGGGCAAGACTTTATCAGGGCTTATACTCAGCACAAGGAAGACAGCACAAAGGAAAGCATCCTCAGGCTGACTCCCCGAGTAGAGGTCTAGAGGTGGGAGAGAGTTTTTAAAAGAAACTTAGGTGGGAAAGGGCAGGTCTAAGCCTGGAAAGGCAGGAATTTATTAGCACCTGCATACTTAAAGTTCATGCTTCTTCATGTGTCGCATATCTAATTAACATGTTAAATCTCCACCCTTGGGTGTAATTTTTAGTTTTATAATGAGGGGAACCTGGAAAGGTAAGCCCTGGGGTCCATCTTGGCACAGACTGGTTTGGTCCAGTCTTCACCAGTCTGTGTAGTAAGCATCTTCCTTTCAGTAAGCATCCTCCCTTCGCATTCCTACAAGGTATGCTACTTAAAAGGCAGAGAGTTTGAGTTTTTTCTTTTTTCTTTATGGAGGCAGCCCAATAATGCTGGATGTTAGGGTCAGGATTGAGGGGACCTGAGCCCAGTCCCTGCTCTGTCTGTGAGGTATCCTTTGATTTGACCAACGTCTGTGTATATTTTAGTTTTCCCAAGGAGCACCAAAGGTTTTGCCCATCTCCTTCCCAAGCAAATCTAAAGTAATCCAACATTTCAAGGGAATGTTGGATTTCCAGGGCCCTGGAGTCTAGGACATTACTCAATATTTGCCTATTTTTCCCTGGAAAATTCACAATGTTAATGCAGTCCACTTTGTACTGTTGGGGCCAATGGCAAGCTGCCCCAAGGTGGGCCACTTTGGCCTGAAGACTACTTTGAGTTAAAAAGCAATAAAAGCTTAGCAGATTTTAGTAAAAGCTCTTTATCTCCCCATCAACTGCCTAAAATTTCGATAGAGGACTTGCTCCAGGAAGAAAGTTATCATCATAAGTAACTACATTATGATATGAAGTAGGTGTGGTATACAGGGAGGAATCTAGCAAGGCCTATTTGATCCAAGTTCTCTCTAAGTCCTATTGTTTCTGGATGGCCCAGCAAACATTTGTTTACCAAATATTTACTCTTTTTCATCGTCCTGTTAATTGCATTCCTTTCCTCTGAGTCCTAGATCCCTACTCCTCCTCAGTTCAGGATGACATGCTTACCTCACTTTGCATGCCTGTCTTTAGAATATCCACCTCTGTGTGGATTCCCTGTATGTACACTGCTAAATTTTATTTTCTCCTGTTAATCTATCTCATGTCAGTTTGAATCTTGGTCCAGATAGAAGGACCCTGAAGGGGACAGGAATTCCTGCTCTCCTGATAACACCTAAAATACACTGGTTTCTCAACTCAACCTTGCTGAAGAGTCTCCCAATGTGAAAACAGCACCAAAAAGTGTTTTTAAATTGCTAGGTAAAAGGAACCAAGGAACACTACCATTGGTTCCTGAGCCAATTTTCCTAGTGACCAGATATGAATTTGGAGGATGGTTGGATGGTCTGATATATAACCTGCGTTGATGTTACAGGATTTCTTCTCCCCCTAAGCACCCATAGCTCCTGGCCATGCCGTTTCAAATGCAGAGTGGTGTACAGCAAAGCAAGGTTTATTGAGCGATAGCAAAGTGATAGTCCAAAGCTCCTGAAGAGGGAGGAGACCTGAGAGGGTTGTTACTGGAGGTTTTAAGTCTAGGAGTTTTTATGAGCTTGTTGGAGGGCTGTTTTAATCTGATTAACCCTCCTTGCATCTGTCATCCAATCAGGTTTTTGTCATCTATCATGTGGGAAAGGGTAGAGAACTTCTTCCAGGGTGGTGTAAAATCCTTTTAAGGGTGGTTTCCTCTTAGGGCAGGGGTCCCCTTGCCTTGCCTGCCTTTATTCCAACTGTCCACCACTGACATACTAGAGCACTATGTCTTAAACATCCAAGTTAACTACTACCCACATATTCTGAGCTTGATAATAATAGAACTATAAATTAATAAAGCCACCTTTCAGCTCAATGACAATAGAGTCTGAATGTGGGCCAGATGTCAGGAGATGTGCATATAATCTTTCCCCATCACTAATTATAATCTATAGTACAGATCAATTCAGTGGAATGGTTGTATAAGCTAGTGGGAACTACTCTGTCAAAATCAAGTTGGTATGGGGCATCTATCTGGGTGGCTCAGTTGATTAAGCCTCCGACTCTTGATTTCAGCTCAGGTCATAATCTCAAGGTTATAAGATTGAGCCCCACATCGAGCTTCACACCAGGCATGGGGCCTGCTTAAGATTCTCTCCCTCTGGGCAACTTGGTGGCACAGTTGGTTGGGCGGCTGACTCTTGGTTTCAGCTCAGGTTGATATCTCGGGACCATGAAATTGAGCCCCGCTCCAGGCTCTAAACGGAGCACAGAATCTGCTTAGTTTCTCTTTCCCTCTTCCTCTGCCCCTCTTCCTACCTTCCCTCCAAATCAATCAATCAATCATTTTTTTTTTTTAAGATTCTCGGGGATCCCTGGGTGGCTCAGCGGTTTAGTGCCTGCCTTTGGCCCAGGGCGTGATCCTGGAGTCCCGGGATCGAGTCCCGGAATCCAGTCCCACATTGGGCTCCCTGCATGGAGCCTGCTTCTCCCTCTGCCTGTGTCTCTGCCTCTCTCTCTCTCATGAATGAATGAATGAATGAATGAATAAATAAATAAATAAATAAATATTCTCTTTCTTTCTTCCCCCCCCCCCCCATTTCCTGGGTTCTCTCTGGGGAAAAAAAAATCAAATGGGTGTGGTATAGATTAATCCCATCATCTACTATTCTATCTGTAAAGTTCTTTTTAATTCTGAAATGTTTTCCATTTTGAGGAATACTCTATTGAAATGCAAATATCTCTTGAAGGTGTTATAGCAATCTTTTAACAGAAGACACGTTATAAACAGTTAATGTTTTAGCAGAGATTGGTTACAAATTCAATACAGGCCAGGGGAGAGCAGGGAAGGCTGAGGCTGATGAGAGAGGTAGAAAGACGCCAAAACAAATTTTATTACCCTTTCCTAAGTGCTTTTTGAGGACCACCTTAATTCTGCTTGTCATTATCCCTGCTGACCATCTCTGGATTGAAACTGGTGATTTCCCTGAACACAAGGTGAAACTTCACAATTTGGATGACAAATAGCAGCAACCTTACCATTATCTAGTCTTTAGTCCAAGACATGTCCATCTTCCTTCCATTGGCAAATGAGTCAATTTTGCCTAACTTTTTAAAGATGCTCAGGCTGTCAAGCTGTGATTTTCACCCAGGGCTCTCATCTACACAATAAAATACAACACATGACCTGTTTGTTTTTTTCTCTTCACAGGAATCAATAATATCAACACTATTCCTGCAAAGCCAGAGGCTGGAGATTTGCATTTTGAAAATAACAAAGGATAGGGATCCCTGGGTGGCGCAGCGGTTTGGCGCCCTGCGCGATCCTGGAGACCCCGGGTCGAATCCCACATCGGGCTCCCGGTGCATGGAGCCTGCTTCTCCCTCTGTCTATGTCTCTGCCTCTCTCTCTCTCTCTGTGACTATCATAAATAAATAAAAATAAAAATAAATTTAAAAAAAAAAGAAAATAACAAAGGATAAGGGAGGACACATTTAAAAATTTTTTGTTGGCAGTCTGAAATGTCTAGCCCTACCACTAACTGAATTAACAGACAAAATGAACTCCAAACAGCTGAACTGCTGGTACAAAGGAAGGAAATTATAAATACCCACTGTGAAGGAATCCCTGGGTGGCTCAGTGGTTTAGCCCGTGCCTTTGGCCCCAGGGTGTGATCTTGGAGTCCCGGGATCAAGTCCCACATCAGGCTCCCTGCATGGAGCCTGCTTCTCCCTCTGCCTGTGTCTCTGCCTCTCTCTGTGTGTGTATCTCATGAATAAATAAATAAAATCTTTAAAATAAATAAATAAATAAATAAATACCCATTGTGGCCTCATGACTCGATGCATAGAGTAAGGCTACAGCTGGCACCCATATTTTCCTAACAAACACATAATTAGAGATAATTTAGTTCTTAGGTTACAGGACATCCAGGAGAGATTGTTCCTGAACTGGTTAATGAACATTACACAGAGAGAAGAGGGGGACTCTCAAGGAAGGAGACTTTATAATCTTCCCTTCAGACAGATGCACAACCAGAATCACTTCTCTGAAATTCTAATATTAAATATTTCGAAGAACAGGAGCATTTCATAACTTAGTTATTGGAAAATGAACTAACACAAATCCATTCATCCTGAAAACCTGACATGAACTGAAGCAAGACTATTTCTAATCTTTACTTATACCACTTAGTGTTCATATGCAGACAATTCACTAGCAAGATTTCCTTTGCACAAAGGATCTTTCCATTTTGTTCAGTGAAACCATGTTTGGCTTGCTATTATTGTTTAGAAATTAAAGTAGGAATAGAAAAGTATGTGTAAACGTTGTGTGGTCAAAGGGGTGGACTATTGGTGAGTGGCTTTGGTGAGTTGCTTTTAGCATCTACTCCAAACTCCTTATTGAGGCCTTTCCTGTCCTGTAGAAGCTGGAGAGTTAAAAAAATACATTTCTGATTTCCTGACCCCTGAGTTCAAATAGCTGATTTAATACACACATCTAACTTTAATACACACATCTTTCAAGGCTTCCTCTTGAAAGCCTACAAAAATACAATAAAGAGATTTATTTTTCTAAAAAAGATACAAACTTTCTGGGGCTGGGAAAACAAGAGGCAAGAACATTATTTTGGAAGATAGAGAGTGGTAGTGAAGAAGCCAGGGAAAAACCCAATTTACATTGCAGGATTCTCAAAAGGTTCAAGAACTCTGTAGTAGTAACACAGGAGTTGAAGTGAGGGGACATCACGCTGAAATAAGGAGGTCTGGGTAAAAGATGTTTAAGAAGCAGTTAGATCTTGAGAACTCTTCCCCATTCCACACTGCTGGGTAATGGCCTGCCTTTATCACAGCAGAGCCTAAGGCTTTATTTCCTATGGAGGTAAGAGTGTCAGACAGAAATGCAAGGCTTCCATTGAGGGCTGGGTCCTATGCAGATGAATGTTCACTCAGATGTCCCCAAGGTAGAATTGTAGCTTGGTAATTCCCATCCACTTGCTCAGAGCTTCTAGTATGCTTCCAGAATTTTCATTCCTCACTTGTTTTTGTTTTTTTTTCTAATAGGTATTTTTAGGGGTATAATTTATATACAGTATTGAAATGCACACATCTGTGTAAGTCACACCCCTAATACCACATGAGACAAGTCCAATGCCCCAGAACATTAGTCCTTCGTTTTATTTTATTTTTAACTTACTAAAAATTTTTTTAAAAGATTTTATTTGAGGGGATCCCTGGGTGGCTCAGCGGTTCAGTGCCTGCCTTTGGCCCAGGGCATGATCCTGGAGTTCCGGGATCAAGTCCCGCATTGGGCTCCCGGCATGGAGCCTGCTTCTCCCTCTGCCTGTGTCTCAGCCTCTCTCTCTCTCTCTATGTCTATCATGAATGAATAAATAAAATAAAATCTTAAAAAAAAAAAAGATTTTATTTGAGAGAGGGAGAGAGAGAAAACACAAGCAGGGGGAGGGGCAGAGAGAGAGGGAGAAGCAGGCTCCCTACTGAACAGGGAGCCCCACCTGGGATTAATCCAGGGACCCTGGGATCATGACCTGAGCTGAAGGCAGACACTTAACTGACTGAGCCACCCAGGCGCCCATTAAAAAAAAATTTTTTTTAATAAACTCTACATCAAACATGATGGCTTGAACTCACAACTCCAAGATCAAGAGTTGCATGCTCTACTAAGTGAGCAACGCAGGCAACCCCTAGTCCCTCACTTTAAATCATGTACAGATAACTAATTACCAGACATCTAAGGACAGACTCTAAGATAGAAGATAAAGACCAAAGCAAACAAATAGGGGAAAAAAGCAACTTGAAAGAAAGAATCCTTTTAGGAAAAACAAAATATATTTTAAAAATACTATATCAATATCCTTAGGGAAATGAGAAGAGTCTGCACAATGAATGCTATGAAAAAATTCAAACAACAACAAACAAAAGAGCTCTTTAAAACTGAAAACATAAATGAAAAAAACTCAAAAGAAATTTTGGAAGATGAAGTTGGGGAAATTTCCCAGAAAATAGAGCAAAAAGACCACAAGAAAGAAAACAGGAGTGAAACAGTCAGGAAATCCAACATCTAAATAACAGAGGAGAAGAAGAAAGCAGCAATGAATAATTCAAGAGAATACTCAGGGTTTCCAGAAAGAAAGGACCCGTTGGATGCCTAAGAGAACAGATGAACTCACGCAGAGGTGCGTCATCATGAAATTTCACTGGGAACAAAGAGAAAGGAAATCCTTCCATCACATGGAGGAGCTTCAGACTTGTAAACAGCAAGCACTTAAAACCAGAAGTCCATGGAGCAACGCCTTCAAAGCTGAAGGAAAAATACTCCTAATTCAGAATTCTATATCCAGTCACTTATCAATCAAGTGGGAAGATAGAATAAAAAGATTTTCAGACACCCAGATCTCAAAAAGTTTACCTTCCATGGACCTTTCCCAGAAAACTGTTGCAAAACATGTTCCATCAAATTAAGGAAGGAAAGCATGAAAAAATATGTGGGCCAGATGAAACAGAAGATTCAACCAGGAGAAGGGCAGAGGGAATCTGTCAGATTATGGAGGAGGTTCCCACAATGACTACTCTGCACAAAGCACAGAAGATTTTGTCAGAAAATCTGAGGCCACGGGCTGTGAAGAGCCCACATCCATAACCATCCTTATCTGCAGAGTAATCACACAGGCACAGGGAAAGTCCATGCATGGACACTAAAGAGGAAATGATGAGACAGTAATGAAGGATGTTTCTAACCCAATGTTACACTTAGCCTGGGGTCTCTATGTCTTAGCAAAATGTCCATAGACTATATGCAGAAAAAAAAAATCAGAAAAATCAGAAAAAAAAATTCCAAAGAAGAGAAATTCTGCATATTAATTTATATGTTCGTATGTTGTATATGGGTGTATGTGGATACGTGTGTATCTATGTGCTTATATATACATTGAATATTTCTGTATGAATTATGAAGGAAATCTACTTTTCTTCTTTTTTTAAAAAAGATTTTATTTATTTATTCATGAGAGACACAGAGAGGCAGAGAAACAGGCAGAGGGAGGAGCAGGTTCCCCGTGGGGAGCCTGATGCAGGACTCTGTCCCAGGACCCTGGGATCACTACTTGAACCAAAGGCTCAACCACTGAGCCACCCAGGTGGCCTGAAATCTGCTTTCCTTCTATCTATCTTTTTGTTCCATTTTATTTCTTTTTTTACTCTATGTGTGTATTATTATTCAAAAAAATGAACAATGGATTAAATATTTTTCTTTAAAAAATTACAAATAACAACAACATGAACAACAAAATTATAAACAATATGCCCACTGATTGAGCAGTTCTACTTTAGGAATCATCCCATGAATACTCTTGTACACATGGGAAATTATGTAAATACAAGGCCATTCACTACAGCAGCAATATTTGTGATAGCAAAGGACTGGGTACTGCCCAAACGTCCGCTGAGAGGGGAATGGTAAGACTAATTACATACATTTATACTGTAGAATGCTTTGCAGTCATAAAAAAAAAAAGAATGTAAAAGCTCATTATATGTTGATACATGGTAATATCCAAGATATTCTATTAAATGAAAAAGGCAATGTATAGAAGAGACTGTGTAATTTGTTATAAAAATACAAGGGGGAGGGCAGCCCAGGTGGCTCAGTGGTTTAGCGCCGCCTTCAACCCAGGGCGTGATCCTGGAGACCCAGGATTTAATCCAGTGTTGGACTCCCTGCATGGAGCCTGCTTCTCCCTCTGCTTGTGTCTCTGCCTCTCTCTCTCTCTCTCTCTCTCTCTCTCTCTCTCTCTCTGTCTCTCTCTCTTTGTCTCTCATGAATGAATAAATAAAATCTTAAAAAAAAAATACAAGGGGGAAAAATGTCTCTGACCTTTGCAGACAAAGTCAGATAACCCTGTTATGTGTTCTTAGTATATTCTGTGTTTTGCCTTTATAATACTTATGACAATAATAGTTAATGATTACCTGTGTTTAAAAAAACCTCACACTACTCATACTCCCTTGCAGTTGGTTCTAGGTATGAAACAGATCGTACCAATTCAGTGCATTATGTAAGATTTGGAAAGCAGAAGGGGTCAGTACCATCTTCTTGAGTTCTTAGGTGTTGCTGCTGACAGCGATGGTCATAGAATTATTGGGCTTTTCTGCAACAGTAGCCTGGTGTCCAGAGACTAGCCTCATAAATGTCAAAAGGCAGTTGCAGTGAAGGCTTCTGAGTCTTGCCTGGATCACAGTTAGTGGTGTATTATTCTTTTTTTTTTTTTTTTAAGATTTATTTATTTAAAAAAAAGAAGAAGAAGAAAGATTTATTTATTTATTTTTAAAGAGAGAGAATGGGGGTAGGGGTGGAGGGAGAGACAGAATCCTGAAGTAGACTCCCCACTGAGCATGGAGCCCAACTCAGGCTTGATCCAGGACCCGGAGATCATGCCCTAAGAGGAAATCAAGTCAGCTGCTTAACCAACTGAGCCACCCAGGCGCCCCCACTTATACATTCTTAAACTTTCCAGAGTAGGCTCTGATTACTCACTTTCCTGACTATGGTACTCCTCTGGCAGGACAGTTCAGTGGGGATGTTCAGGGAGTCATTAGAAAGAACCTAACTTATCCCACTCCTATTAGCCTCCCTAACCATTCCCTAACTCTCTGAACTGAAGGCTCTTTTGCTTAAAACAGGAGGTGATTTGTTTCTTGCAATTGATATTCAAATGAAATAATTTATAATATAGATTTTTAACATAGAGAAACTGCAAACCTTATTTTAGAATCATTAAAGTAAGTTATTTGATTTGTATCTATCCTGTATACTATATGCTGCCAAAGTAAGTGTAAAAGAGGTTTAAAAATTAAGAATTATCTATGAGATTCTCTTCTACGTGTGGTAACAACTATTGATAAATCAGAGCATACACAACAACTCAGGGGCAGCATGTTTAACCTTTTTTTAAAGATTTATTTATTTGAGAGAGAGAGTGTGCATGTGAGAGAGTGAGTAGGGGAAGGGACAGAGGGAGAGAACCTTTAAGCTGACTCCCCACTTAGGCAGAACCCAACCCAATGTGGGGCTCTATCTCACAACCCACGAGATCATGACTAACCAAAACTAAAAGTCAGATGCTAAACTGAGCCACCCAGGTGCCCCATAACCTTTTTCTAAAAGTTTATTCAGAACACAGAATGAGTGAATGAATAGGTATAAAGAATTGGTTTTAATAAATAATTTTTATTTTTAAAAATTGATGAAATAGAACATGACTAAAAGGTGGGCAGTGGCTTACTCTAAGAAATGCCTGATGGCATCAATTGAAAGGTGTGTCAGAAACAATTGGGTGATTCCAGATTTCACACTCCTCGACTCAGCATCCTGAAATGGTTTTCAACAGGCTGGGAAACCCATTAAAACATCTGGCCCATAACAGTAACAGTCTCAGTTCCTTTCAATCATGGTGATATTGTGGGAGAGGGTGACATTTCTGAATTTTGTCTTTTTTTACACTGTTTGCAAAGTGAATTTGACAGTGAGTGAGTAAAAGAGAGTGATACATGAACAGTTACAGCTTTTGAGTACCACTGAGCACATGCTTGATATAACGTTTGCTTCTAGGTAGCATTTTATAATTACATCTAATCTAGTAACATTTTTGCGTGTGCTTTCAGAAAAGAAACATTGGGAAGTGGTGGCAGATAAGAGGGCAAATGACTGAGAAGTCACAGCTCTCTGCAAATGCAGACACACACATTTACAATATTCTGGCAGAGAATAAATAGCAACAAGCATCTGATTCTAAGTTTTTAGAGTTACTCAATTTAAATGAGGTTGCCACTGAGGGCAGAATAAGACAGAATTGCTTTGATATATATGAAACATTTCTAAAATAAAAGGAAACATTTTTTAGATCATTGAAAGTTTTAGAATTAAGATTATTTTGAGCTGGCAAGGTCCTTAAAGACTTCTTGTCCAAGGTGTAGAGAGGTTTATTGACTTGCCCAGAGTAACAGTTAATTGTGAAATTAAAATGTTTAATTCATAGCTCCCCTCCCATTAGCCTGTACATAAGTTTTTGGAAATATGTTTAGAATTGTCTGCAATAAGGGAGAAATGATCTAACACCAAAGCTTCTTAAGAACAGAGCTAGACTCCAGGGGTGAGGGGCTGATGGGGGTGATGTGGGATGTGGCTGGGGAAAGGGGCCTTCCAGGTATTCCTTCACTCAGCTTTGCCACTGACATATAAGAGTCTATAGAATCTGCCTCCCTTTCTTACTTTATAACTCACTCAGCCTGCTTATTGCCTTTATGCTACCTCTTTCCTGCAAGTAAACCACATATAGTTCCTCTTCAATTGCCTTTTGTGAAGAGGAGAGTAAGGTTAGAAGTATATATGGAATGTTGCTGAGCAGCTGGGCTCCAGGAATCATAAGAATTTATACCACTGAATCCACTCAAAAGTGGCTGGTGGGGCTTTGCCAGACGTAAGCAGATGGGGAGAGAGGAATAAGTGCCTATGCAGCTGAACAAATTCCAGAAGTTCACCTCAGTACCACTGGCTGCCTTTCAGGCTAAAGACTCACTACTGGGAGCTTAAATGTATTTGCAGATGTACTCAGATTTTAAGAACTCTGCAGCACTTCACTCATTAGGATGGCTTCTATGAGAAGGAAGGAAGGAAGGAAGGAAGGAAGGAAGGAAGGAAGGAAGGAAGGAAGGAAGGAAGGAAAGAAGGGAGGGAGGGAGGGAGGGAGGGAGGGAGGGAGGGAGGAAGGAAGGAAGGAAGGAAGGAAGGAAGGAAGGAAGGAAGGAGAAAGAAAAAAGAAAAGAGAAGGAAAGAAAAAAAATATTAGTGAGGCACAAGAACTCTTGTGCCCATTGTGGGAATGTAAACAGGTACAACTACTATTGAGAATGTATGGCAGTTCCCCCAAAAATTTAAAAATAGAATTACCATATGATTCAGCAATTCCACTTCTGGATATATACGCAAGAGAAGTGAAGCAAGAACTTGAAATAGATATTCATACACCCATGTTCATCATAGCAACATTATTCACAATAGCCAAAATGTGGAAACAACTGAAGTGTCCATGGACAGATGAATGGATAAACAAGTGTGGTATATATTCAATAGAATATTATTCTGCCTTAAAAAGGAATTAAGTTCTGGGGATGCCTGGGTGGTTCATTGGTTCAGCGTACTTTACCATCTTAACCGTTCAGTGGCATTAGTACATTCATATTTTTGTACTACCATTCCACCATCCATCTCCAGGATGCTTTCATCCTGTAAAACTGAATCTCTGTACCTGTTAAATGCCAGCTCTTCATTTCCCCCTTCCTCTAGCCCTTGACAATCACCATTCTACTCTCCGTCTCTAAGAATGTAACTACTCTAGGTACCTGTGTAAGTGGAATCACACAGTGTTTGTTCTTTTATGACTGGCTTATTTCACTTAGCATGATGTTCTCATAATGTCCATGATTTACCATGTGTCAGAACTTAATTCCTTTTTTTAAAAGATTTTATTTATTTATTCATGAGAGACAGAGAGAAAGACAGAGAGGCAGAGACATAGGCAGAGGGAGAAGCAGGCTCCATGCAGGGAGCCCGATGTGGGACTCGATCCTGGGTCTCCAGGATCACGCCTTGGGCTGAAGACGACACTAAACCGTTGAGCCACCTGGGCTGCCCTGAAGTGTGTTAACTGACTTTGTAAAGGGTTTTTGTTTTTGTTTTTGTTTTAATAGAAATGAAAATTACAGCCTACTTTGCATCCATTCTTTTATTCCTTCCTTCTTTTCTTTATCCCTTGATTCCTCCTTTCTTCCTTTGAACATCTATAGACTTACCTAACATGTGCCAAACATTGTGTGAAGCCCTGGGAAGCTCAGTTGAAAGATACCGTGATCCACTCACAGGTCAATGGTGGAGAAGTGCCCCAGGTAAAACAGACATTGTCATGTGGCAAGGGCTCTGATGGAGACATGCTCAGGTTGTTATGGGAGCTCAGAGAAGAGACTTCTAAGCCAGTCTGGAAGATAAAATAAAAAATTTTTGGAATTTGGAATTCCTAAGTAGAGTCTTTGAGGGTGAACAGAAGTTAGCCTGCTAACAAAGGAAAAATCTGAATTATCATAACAATATTAGTAATAACATTTTTAGCAATAAAGCTACGACTTATGTATTGTTTATCCAACAAATGCTTGTTAAATACTAGAAAATGAGCAGAGTCCTATGTGTTAGAAATATGGAGGGGAAGAAGATAAAGTCCTTCTGTCATGAAGCTTAGGTGGAGATATTCAATAAATACGTAGACAAGCAAAGCATAGTCTATCAGATTATGATAAGTGCTCTGGAGAACAACAGAGTAGGGGGAAAAAGAAAGGTTTGAGATAAGGGAAAGGATGTTACTAATTTTTACATGGTGGCTAGGGAAGGCCTCACCAATACAGCTGCATTTGAGCAGAGGACTGAAGACAGTGAAGGAGCCCTGCAGAAAGAAGGGAAGGCCAAGGGAACAGAAAGAAAAGTTCTTGAGATGGGAAAGTGCCATATGCATTAGAAGGACAATGTGGTTGGAGCAGGAGGGAGGGGAAGAGCTCCCATCATTCAGGGCATTTGAGGCTGTGGTAAGGATGTCAGCATATACACTGTGAGATGGAAATCACTAGAGGGCTTTGATTAGAGGAATGACATGACTTGACCTGGGTCTTAAAGGGATCATTTTATCTTCTATTGAGAAGACAAGAAGGGGCAAAGGTAGAAATGCTGTCTCCAAGTAAGAGACTACTACACTTATTCAGGAGAAAGTGATGGTAGCTTGGATTAGGATGGCAGCCGCTGAAGTCATATTCTAGATATATGTTGAAGGTGGAATCAACAAGACTGTCTGATAGACTAGCCATCAGTTGTGGAAGAAAGTAAAATAGTCATGAATGACATCCAAATTGCTGGCCTGAGTAACCAGAAGCATCAAGCGGCAATGACTAGGTTGGAGCACTTGTAGGAAGAGCAGGTTTAGGTGTTGACACTGGAGCCACTGAATGAATGTGGGGAGAAGTGAAGTTGGAATATGGCCATGGGACTATTAACACAACTATATTCCTTAACGGGGGTTCCAGGAAAATCAGAGACATTGATGAGAGCCTAAGAGATTCATCTTGGTTAGTATCTTGGTTACAGGTACCAGATAAAGCTTTAAAATCTACTGGTTGGCAAAGCCTACACTAGATGACTGCTATCTTAGCGGCCTTCAAGATCTGATGCCACATCTTTGTTTCTGGGATTTGGAAAGCCGACTTTGTTTTCAATGAATTTCACAAGCACTTATTAAGTGTACAAGTGTAACAGGAAAGGCTCATAGTATACTGGTTCCTACTGATGCCATCCGTTGATGGGCAGAGTTAACTGGCTTTTGCTCTGGCACAGGCTTTGGTTATATCTGTCTGATTTTGTAAGGTGGAAATTGGTAAACTGAAGAACTTCTATAATATATCATCTTTGACAGCTGGTGATGGCACCTCTTACTCACCTTCCATGAAAATTACAGTGACCTATCACTATAGGTCACTATATCACCATGTCCAATCATGGACATTTGTAAGATTGCTGGCTAGAGTTATAGTTTCAAGCAGAGAACTTCTGCCATGTGAAATTAAGTGATTTCAGGACCTACAGTCTCGGAATAAACACTCAGTAAAAACTCTTTGGAAGAATGTAATTAGAACTCTCTCTGGTACTCTATGAAACTATAGATTATTTTCATAATGGTGAAGATTCAGGAGTGCTTTCCCAAGCATAAAAGATCCAAACAGGCAGTGGGTTCAGAGCTGCTAACTACAACCCCGGTCCCTGGTGTGGGCCCTGTACAGGATTCAGAATAACTGTGAGGATGATTACATTTTCTTTTTTTTTAAGATTTTATTTATATATTCATGAGAGGCACAGAGAGAGATTGGCAGAGACACAGGCAAGAGAGAAGCAGGACTCAATCCCTGAACTGGGATCACACCCCGAGCCGAAAGGAGATGCTCAACCACTGAGCCACCCAGGCATCCCAGATGACTGCACTTTCAATGAGAAGACAGAGCAGAACTCGCATTGACCAGGCAAACATCTAAGTGTTCAGCTGTGTGCTCATGCCTCCCCCCTGGGCCAGCGCTGGCCCACTCTGCTACAGACCCTGTTACATCTCTATCACAATGTTTTTCACACTTATGCTTACTTCCTCAGACTGTGAAAATGATCTGCCCAGTTCACTGCTGTATTCTCAGAACCATGGCCAGTGCCTGGGACAGAGCAGTCCCCAGTAGATGTTGAATAAATGAACAGAAGTTATAAAAAGACATTAAATAAAACAGTTTGAAAATGCAAGTTATGTCAGGTGAGGTTTTTCAAGGCCTTTCCTTTACAAAGCAAGTATGGCATTTTCTGAAAGGCTTCCTTGATCCCTGACAGCAACCTCTTCTCCACAGAGGCTGGTTCCACTCCTGTGCTTTGACCCTATTACATCTTGAGCATCTGTTATGCTATTTATTACTCTCTACTATATGATTTCTTGAGTTTTCTTGCTTATATTACTCCCCACTAGACAGAGTGTACCTTGAGGGCAAGATCCCTGCATCTCTGCATCCTAGAATCAAGAGATAGTGTTTGAATAAATAAGCTTCCATTTGCTGAAGTTACTAAAGCTGAATCCATTTATTAAATATGTGGCAGACAGGATTAACCAGAAGCAAGATTTTGTAGTATTTGATAAGATTTCCCTCAATGAATATTTGTTGATAACTATTAAAGATAAATTATTAACCCATTGCAATTAGTGTTCCCAAAGGCATCTAAGAGCTCATTTCCTGTTCTGAGTAAACCTATCATCTTCTAAGATCTAAGCCTTATTTCACAGGAAAATGAGGCAGATTCTCTCTGACAGTGTGTCAGACAGTGGTGGTGAATCTCACTAAGAGGATCATATTCCTTCTCTTTGGTAGACAAAATGATCAAGATTATAGGATCTCTGAGGTTGACATATACAGCTAACAATCTTTTTTTTTTTAAGATTTTTATTTATTCATGAAAGACACAGAGAGAGAGACAGACACAGGAACAGAGGAGGAACAGACATAGGCAGAGGGAGAAGCAGACTCCATGCAGGGAGCCTGACATGGGACTCGATTCAGGGTCTCCAGGATCATACCCTGGGCCGAAGGCGGCACTAAACCGCTGAACCACCAGGGCTGCCCCACAGCTAACAATCTAGAACTAAAATTAGAAACTGGTAATTACTACGGGGGTAATTATTTAACTAGAAAAATATATGTTTAAGTTACTAAAGAACATACTAAAAAAGGTTGTACCAATGCAGATACAATTTAATGTTAGTGAAATTCAGGGAATAAACACCTAATAATTTTATTCTTTTTTTTTTAATGAAGACCCCCCAAATCTGCAGTTATGTTGAATAATCTAATAGCAAAATTATAATCTGGGATTAAAACAGAAATCTGAGATTCTGATTGGAATCTGTCTGATTCCACAGTCTACGCTTTCCCCTTCTATAAAAAGAACTCTCAGATATGATATACATGCTGAAGTGTTGAGATGAAATATACTGATGTCTCTCAATGTATCAAAAATATCAGATGGATTGATAGGTGGACAGAGGGATAGATAGATGGATCATTATGTGAGAAGGCAAATATGGAAAAATGTTAATTGTAGAATCTAGACAGTCATATGGATGTTCTCTGCATAAGCCAATTTTTCTGAATAATTTTCATAGCAAATTTAAATAATTTATAATTATTTAATAATGTATAATAAAAATAGCAAAATAAATAAATAGAAATTTAAAGCTAGTAACTAAAACATTTTAAACTTTTCATAATAAAACACTGATGGGGAAAACGTGGCCTTATAGTCCTTCCTAGGCCAATCTGGTCTAGGAAGCTAATGCTCAGAGAGTGTGTCTAATCCTATTATTCCATTGTTTAAGATCCCTGAAGCCTCTCCATTCCCTGTACAATAAAATTCAAGCTCTTTGGGTTGGCACACAAGGCCCTTCATAACCCGTCCTCTGACCCGCTCTCTGATCACATCTTCAATCCTTCAAGCATAAGAGCAGAGCTGAATTGCCACATGCGGGCAACTGAGCTATCTAGTAATTTGATGCCCCTTGACATTTTTAAACTAATTTTTACTTATCAAAGCACTATATGTACATAACTTAAAAGGTCAGTAGTGCCCAAAAGCCTTTAACAAAAAACCAACAGCATTTTCACACAGCTCTGTCACACCGTTACCATCCTATTCTACAGACTCCATCACTTCCAGCTCTTACAGTTGTTTCTTATTTGCCTCCAAGTTTCTTGGCATATGATCCTTTTTGGTGGAGTTAGATATTATCCGTTGATTTTCTTTCATTGCAGGCAAGGCAATTAGCCCTCTTCCTCTTCTCTGCCCCATCCCTCATCCCCCAGCATCACACTTTTTGGCTAAATCCATATTCCGTGTTAATTAATAGGACTGTAAGTACTGTTTGCTGAGGACTCAAGAATGGTGATTGCATTTTCTTTCTTGGCTATCTTTTAGTTTGTCCTGAAGTTGATATCTGCCTCTGTTTTGTCATTTGTCCAGATTTCATTGAACAAACTGTGTTTCCACACCCACTAACAGTTCTATAAAATGCTTCTCACTAAAAATTCTCATATGACCAGCCTGTTGGATAATCAAGTAGCTCCATTTTGTTTCCCCTGACAGCATCTTTCCTGGAGCCTTCCATCCCACTTAAATTAACATGGTTACTTCTGGGCCTACCACATCACCTACTCTGAGTTCTTCTGGGACTTCATTTTTGCATCATCCTGGAGACACTCTGTGCCTTACTCCTGTGTTGGATCCCCTCTTCCCTGAATCCACTGTGTTCTTTCTTGGTTTATTTCTTCATTTGGTGGAACATATCATCTAGTGACTTTTTGAGAAAGGATATGTGACAGGAATATCTTTTTGAGATTTTGCATGTATGAAAATGTGTCT